CAGGAATCTAAACGTTGAAAACGTCGTCTGCAGCGTCAACAAGCTGTGCTGTGCCCTTGCACTTGTTAATAAACTCGCTATATAAACTAATTTGGGCATTGATTGAGTGTCCTTGAAAACTTTTTTCCTACAAAATATCACTTCCATGCTCCCAGCCCAGACACAGTACAACCAGTTGTACCACGATTTTTAACGGCTCTGACTGTGCCTGTTCCTATGCCACAGCCTTGCAAAGCCTTGTACATCGTGGGAATGAGTAACCACATCGTTTCAGTTGTCACAGCTGCTAAACATCTTTCATGACGATTATGATTCATTCAACCAGGAGATACCATGAGAACTCTGCATCTCACTTACTTTCCAAAGGTGTCTGTGGTCCTTAAAATGACTGTTTCTCTGACTGCAGATATAACTTACCTCATTACCATAGGATATGTTTAAAAGACAAAAAAAAGCCTGCTAATTAGCTCTGCTGGGCTGCATGATGGCAGTTTCAAGTGTCAGAAGTATGGCAGTTACACAGAGGTACAACACCTGTGGGCCTAGAAGGCCACGTGCTTCAAATATACACTCTCCTACCAGTGTCCCTGAGGCCTGATCCAATATTTGCGCATTTGTATACAACCCAGAAAGCTATTTTTTTAATTGAAACAAAGAAGCACAGAGATAGGGTCAAGGCAGCTATAGACCAGGCCCCCTCCGTTCTTGCTGACTTGAGTAAAAGTTAAGAGTCTTATAGCTAAAGCAGTGCCTTTTCGTGCCCCGATTCATAGATGTTCTTACCTCACCTCAACCTACCGTGGCAGCCTGGGAGGTTCCTCCAGCAGCGAGCACAACACCAGACGCAGGAATGTGGGTTTGCTTTCTCCCAGTCTTCCCTCCTCCCGGGGCGCAGAACACTCTGCCGTCGGGTGAGCCACGGCTTTGGGGTTTGCACGCATCAGGTGGCAGTGGTGGTGCAGCGTGCACTGAGAGACAGACAACCGCTGACACTAAGCTCATGTATTCCCTTTATTGAACTGTACTAGTTATTGCAATCAGATTAAGTCACATTTATAAAGCAGACCATCCAGTTGCACTGAAACCGATTATATTCATTACATAGTTTTAATCACTGTCCGGTGAACTGGCAAATCCAATCAAAGCATTAGTCTTTAATTAAAAAATTAAAAGGAAATATTCAGACAATAGCCAAGCAATCACATCACAATGCACAGTTACCTAAAATTGCAATTAAAAAGCAGTTAACAAAAAAGAAAAAAAAAATCACACCTAATCTTTAACTATCAATATAATACAAGAAGCAACAAAGGGCAACAGCATCAAAGCAGATTTATCTAACACTATAAATTCAGTCAGAAGCAGAAGCTCTAAAGTACACTAGCTGAAGCAGGACAATAAAAAATACTGAGCATGGAATACTTTTAATCTCTTCCATTAATATTCATTTCCAGCTGCTTATAATAGCAGCGCCTCATGGCCAAATCATTAGAGTTTTACATCTGGGTTGCAAATGACACTTTGATTGGATGTAATGTTCAAATGGTCCTCCCCACTGTGCCACCGTCAAGTCTTCTGCAGAGAGGTGTCCTGTAGTGCCAGTGGCTCACTGTGCGTGCTGGCTCAATGTGTGGTTCTGGAAAGACGAAAAAAGGAGACATGCATGAGGGGCAGAATAATAGAAAGCATGCCCATACCCTCCTACTCAGTACCGTTTATGCAGAGCTCCACATAAAAGCTTCTCAATTATTACAAAACAAAATGCAATAAAGAAAAAGTACTCATAAGTAACAGCTGCCAATATGACACATTTGCTTTGTTCTGACAGATCTGTTATTGCTGGCATGAACTTAGAAAAAAAATGCTACAAGCCAAGTACAGCCATGAGGGTTTCTTTTTTTTCTCCTCCTTTCAATACATATCAAGAAAGTGGTAACACTTCATGGGCAAAAACTGCCTTTAGGGATTCCCTTAACTGTAACAATTAAAACAAAAAATCCGAATCGCGGTGGGAACCCTTCCCATATTCGACTCTTTTATTCTCACTCGTACCGGGTGCGAGCACTGGCAGCGAGAGACACCAGATTGTGACACACACTTCTCGCTCCAAGAAATACTTCGGCAGTAACAGTTGAACCGCCAGTGCAAATGCTTGGGCAGTAACAGCTGACCCGCCAGTGCGGGCACTGGGGTGATACACCCAGCAGAAAAAGGCTGGACGTGTAACCCAGAAGTTCAATCTTTTTCAAGAACAGACTTCGCTCTGTTTCTTTCAGCAGTTCAGAGTCTTTTTTGTTCCCCTTTTCCCTTTTGGTAGATTTGTAACAGCCTCGTGTCATCACTGGGTCTTGCGTCAGAGCACGCTGATCTGTCTTGCTGTTTTGTGCTGGGGCCAATAAATCACGAAGCCGACCCTGGAAGCGTATTTTTAGAGCAGTACCAATTCACCTATATTTTGTGTGCTGACTGAAACCCGAGCCCTAAATATAAGCTCAGCTTTATTTGTATGATGATTCAACTATTTGGGCAACTAGAGATGTGCTTCATGGTGAGCTTGAGCTGCGTCCCCAGCATCCTCGAATATAAAAATTCATTTGCATTATTTCAAGCCTAGGCAATTTTACTAGTCTCCATCTGCCTAATAACAGAGCTGGACAAGTCCGCCAGCTTGAAGAATAAGTTTTTAAACAGAAAATGAATTTTGAATCTAATTATTAATTTACACTGACGACGCTTTAAAATAAAGTTATGTTAACTTTTCATAAATCATCTGGTCCTTCTACACCATCCACAGTTACGTCTCAATCAGGAAAAAGCACCATCCTCCTCTCTGCCCAGAGCCGGCTCTCCCTAATGACGACTGGCTGTGGACTCTCCCTAATGACAACCGCTAACGGGCGGCCCGCGATGCACGGGGGCAGGCAGCGGTGACCCCATTTGCAGGCAGGAGCATTTCTGGACTGTGCACTCCCAAAAAGTGACCACCAGGTGTCACAAGTGCTGCTGAGTTCCTAAATCGTGGCAAAAGTTCTCCGGATACTGCAGCGGGTGGGCTGTGAGGGAACTCCGTGCAGTAACGGGCAGGTTCAGCTGCCAGAAGGTTATGGAGGCGGCAGAAAAGCATCATCGCTAACACACGCCCGCAGGAGCCCTTCTGAAATTAAATACAAGCGACTGACAAAATCATAAAATAACTGGTCCTTGTTTAGCGTAACACAAGTCCTCTGAACACACCCCGGTCTGTGATGCTAAATATTTCAGAATCAAAAACCAGAAGTACTGAGCAAAGACCTGGAAAGCTTATCAGAGGAAAAAGCACAATACTCGAATAATGTCAAGTGAACTGACAGCTGAAACTACTTTGCTTTTAGACATTTTAACATCACCAAACACAAAATCCAATGGCTTTTTAAAAACTTCACTATATGTGGAAATTTTCCCTGCCTTACGAAGCAGCACCCGTTGCAATGCTGCATGTTATTTGCAAATCAAGTAACGACTTTATGGAGGATGGCTGGAGCCCTACAAACACAATGGCAGCACTGACAAGGAGCTTGTCCGCTAAACCGATGTGGGAAAGCATGAAAATGGTAAAGAACACCAGGCTGCTCTTTGCTCAGACACAGTCCTCAGCATTTTAACAACGGCCATTTCTTCTGCACTCATTGCCATTCTGTTTTTAGGTCATCCTTACTATCAATAAAAAAAGCAAAAGGTTTACCATCTTCAGTAGAAAGAAGGGCTATTTGTGGTAGACAAATCCATACTTATTTAGGCAGTGTCATTTAAAAGATAATGCACAATCAGCACTAGATGCATGACGCACGGTCTACAGGCAGGGAACATGATTTCAAACTTGTGTGGCTGCTGCATTGATTACACCAGGCAGGTCAATAAAGGAATGGTATGTGGCTCTAAATCTGATAATGAAGCTTTCATTGTGAGCCCTCCCTCCTCAAGCATGGGTTAATAATAGGTTCTGAATGCTCCTAATATAATGAATATACTGGGTTTGTGATCTGGGTTTACACAAAGAAACAAACAGATTATACTCAAACCCTGCAGCCATTCAGAGCTGGGTCAGGTAGGGGCTGAGAAAATAGCCATGCCATAGGCTATCAGCTAAAAAACCCCCTGAAACCCACAACATTTTTCATACACAAATCTTGATTTTGTCTTAATGTCTTGGGAATGTACCATTTATTCCCTTTGCATGCATTACTGGCAATCAATATGCTGACTAGTCCCCGGACCAAGCAGCTAATAAATCGAGCCACATTTTATACAGGACCTGACAAGCACATCTGTAATGCCAACGGACACGAGAGGCTGCATGCACCGAATCCACCCCCGCCTCTCAGGAGCAGGTCCTGGACAGCCACGGGCACCCATGTTAAGTCCTGCTCGCCCAGGTGCTGCTGCACACCAGACCACCAGGGTCCTGCCCGTGCGAATCCCATGCAGCCACCACTGGGGCGCACTCAGATGGCCCATGAAAACCTGGCCGTATCCTTTGTAACCAGCATCAGCTTCTCACCTATTAAAATGTATTTCAGACCACACAAATATGCTTTCCAAAAAAGGTCTGGCAAGCTCTGTCTCCTATCACTAGCCACCGTCATGTCTTATCTTCTTGCTTCTCCTCCCTCTGCCCATGTGCGTGCCGCTGACTGGAATGGTGCTTTGCAGATGTCAGAAAGTGTCCGAGACATTCAGTGCTTGTGTCTCTTCTCTCTCATATTTGTTCTGCATATTTGACCCATGCTTTATCAAATAACTTTCAAATTAGGCACCTCTCTGTGTGCCCACAGACAAAGAAAGGCCCCTGATGACCAGACTTTCAGAGAAATTGAAAGAAAAATAAAATCCTGGCATTAAGAGTGCCCTATGCCTTAGCAGAAATAGCTCTCGCCCTGATGCTACACCAGGTTGTTCCAGGTGGCAGAATGAAAACCATAAAGGCCAGGAGGGAGCAAGCGTTTTGTAAGATGTGACACTACAGTTGCCTCTACTCAAGTCGCCGTCTGCTGTCCAATGGGGAAGCTTCACCCACCTTCCAGCGGGAGGGCGGGCTGGCAGGGCACTGCGGGACGTGAGTTTTCAACTCTAGAAGTTAAAAAACAAAACAAACAAAAATCTTCATGGCAATTTCCAAAGGAAAATACAGCAGCCACAAAGACAAAGCCTCTCCAGGCATGCGTGTGTGCGTTTGCACATGCCTACCTGCACATCCACACACGCCTGCAGCGGGGGCTGGCAGGACCCAGAACAGAATTTGGAAGCTGAACATTAAAAATGGCTCTTCCCAGCTCCTGTTCGGCCCCCTGGCTGACGCACGGCTCACAGCTGATACCCCACTGAATACATCATTCTGAGACATTACTGCAGCTGGAAAACTCTACAGCAGCACTAAGTCACCTGTCAAGATCAAGTAAGTCACAGCTTATTTATAGGACAAGGTTGGAAAATGTCTTCTTTTCTTTTCTTAATAATCATGCAAAATGGATAGCAATTCCGTTAGCCACGTCAGCGGGAGAAATGCAACTACCCCGAGCCTCAGGGTTGCCGCAGTGTTTAAGTGGAATTTTCTACTGGCTGCACAATCCCCAAATGAACCATTTGTGGAAGTGTCTGTGACCAAGGAACTGGGCGACGGGTTCTGCAGGAAATAAAAAGATTTCAAAGAACGGCTGATTATTGTCCGTGCAGATACTGATTGCTCTCCAGATCCTCCCTGGGGACACCCCCTGCCTACCCTCTGGATGCGGATCAAGCCGTTTGTGCAGGACATCTACAATGAATATTTCTCTGTTTTTCTACACGCATTATTATGAAAACACTGGCATGACAATCTACATTTTCAGAGCACTGTGTCAAGAAGGAAAGCATCAGGCTTGAAAGATGATCACTTACAGCAGTTCAAAGAACTCCTACAAGCTGTATAAAGACTGAGAAAAAACACACACACAAAAGCAGCACATGATGGAGCGAAGCGCCAAGCCAGGCAGTCAAGCTGGGAGTCTCCCACACTGCAAGGGCGTTCACTGCCAACAAGTCACAGGTGTACTGCACAGGAGCAGCTGAAAAAAATAAAACACACCTGCAAGGGGTGTGATAATGGTTTGGGGCCATAATACATCCAGTCTATAGTGCCACTGTGCATCTCTAATGGATTCAGATATTTTGTACCAGCCGGTTAGAGATACACTGTCTACGTGCATCAGCACATACACCTGAAAGACCATGTGTGGAACAGGGGTTAAGAAATGGCACGATGAGGCTGGTGATGCCCACCGCCCTCAAATGACATTCATAAGCCTTCTGCAGTGTTCCACAGAGATTGGGACTCTGATTAAAGGTTACAGAGCCACTCTCTCCACTTCCAAATCATATTAAAATGAACAGAAATAACTCCTCAGATAGTTTCAATAGGAATTATGGAGACAATAGATTTCTGTGACAAGCGGCCAATGTGAAACATAACTGGTGACGAGCCACTGGGCGAGCCGTGTGCAGGACCACGCTGGGTTCTGGAGAGGACACGTGCTGTCCCTGCTGCCCCACACATCGCTTCCATGGAGCCAGGGCTCAGCCCCTGCCCGTCCTGGCTACTCCACAGCTCAGGGCCTGGGGACA